ATCAATAGAAATGTCATTGATCTACGTGTAAGTCTGCAGTAAAGTAGTCATTCATTAGACTGATCAATGGAAAAATGTCATTGATATACGTGTAGCTCTAAAAAACACATAATGTAGTCATTCATTAGACGGATCAATAGAAGATGTCATTGATCTACGTGTAAGTCTCCAAAAGAAACGTACTCGTTAAATAGACGGATTAATAGAAAATATCATTGATCTACGTGTCAGTTTCCAAAGTAAAACGAAATGTAGTCATTCTTTAAACGGATCAATATAAAATATCATTGATCTTCGTGTAAGTGTCTAAAACAAACGTAAAGTAGTCATTCATTAGTCGGATCAATAGAAACATAGTGTAGTCAGTCAAGCTTTATGTATGTGTCCAAATAATACTTTTAAAGCATGAAACAAAACACATTATTCAAGAATATGGATACATGGCATTTCATTTAGATCTATGAATGATTTTTGATAGACAATTATTCCTCCAGGGAGTTGGAATTAAAACAGTAATCATGCTAGAAAAAACGTTTAAATTAATATAGGCACTTGATATTCAAACCAACTCTTGTTCATACGATAATGTGCAAAAATGAATATTGAAACAACGAAACATATTAATGGATCATTCAACTCAACGCTTAACAGTTCTACTTACAGTAAAATAAACAGTGAGAAATATGTCGAAGTAATCGTGTTTAGTACAGGTGATTAGCTAATCACATTAAATAAACATTTTTGATTAATCGAGTTAGATAGGCATCCATGTGTTATGAAAAACATCTATTGTTAATAGAAAGGGTATAATTCATGAATTATTCTTTCATGGGATGTTAGAAAATAGTTTTAAGCTTAAATCTTAACGATAAGCGAAAAATGTTTTTATTTTGATTGATTTATTAGGTCATTGTAAGTGTATAAAATGAACTAATTGTATGTATTGAAAGTTCCTTTGCAATATAAAACAAAATAGTGTCCTATTATCTAGAGCAGTGTTTCCCAACCTGTGGTCCCCTGACCCCTGGGGGTCCGGGAAGATAATACCATCTCATTAAACAGGTAAGTTTTTAAATTCTGTTGTTCTTTTAATTGCACACTCAGTTATATATGTCTTTTATTTGATAGTGAAAAATGGAAAAACAAGTTAATTATTAGTAAGAAAAACAGTTTGTTGGGTAGATGGAATCTTTCAAAAAACGTGGGGGTTCTTGGTGGTGAAAAGGTTGGAAACCGCTGATCTAGAGCAATAAGACAGAAATTGAAAAGTGCTGAGTCCTTTTTGGGGCCATGACAGCAGTAGTTGGTACCTCGACATGACAAAAGTGGTTTGAAAATAAAAAGATGTCTTACTGTCTAGAGCAAATAAATAAAATTTGCACTGTTTTGATTAATCGTAAAATACAACTAAACACAAATGAAACAGTGTCTCGTACTGTTGATCAGCCAGATACACAGTGTGTTGTTTTGTACATCTTCTTTGAGTATAACAAGCGTGGGTACTTCTTGCAGATCTCTTGGTACAAATCAGTTACAACAACCAAGGGGTCGTGTCTCGCCGTGCTAATCAACCAGATACACAGTAGTGATGTCTAGTCTTGCAGATCAATACATTTGCAGTGGCGTTTCTTGGTACAAATCAGTTACGACAACCAAGGGGTCGTATCACTCCGTGCTAATCAACCGGATACACAGTAATGATGTCTAGTCTTGCAGATCAATACACTTGCAGTGGCGTCTCTTGGTTGGTACAAATCAGTTATGACAACCAAGGGGTCATGTCTCGCCGTGCACATCAACTAAATTCGCGGTAATGGTGTATCTTAATGATACCTCAATGTCTCGTCCTGCAGATGAATCAAATGTGTCTTGAAGCACGTTAATTATGTTAAGCACAGAGTGGTGTCTCGACATTCATATCAACCAGATACACACGTAATGGTGTATCTTATTTCAGATCGACTCAACACAAAAAGTAATGTCTGATCATGCTGATCGATTATGGAAAGCACAGAGTATTTTACCACCGCGTCTCATACTGCTGATTAGCAACTCAAGCGTAGATCAACTTAGGGTAAACAGAATAGTATACCGTCCTGTAAATCAAACTTCACAAGAAAGTCATGCCAACTAGATTCAGACAGAATGAGTTTTAATGTTAATTAAACATATCAACTGGTCGTAAAATAGTAAAACGTATTTCAAGAAATAAAATAGTAAAACGTATTTCAAGACGTAAAATAGTAAAATTAAATTAAACACAAAAGGTAAAAGATTCATTTTGATACAAACAAGGCGTTAATTTATCCAAACTACAACAGTCGAAAAGTTAATTATCGTCCAGTGAAACTCAACACCCCACTACTACCCACGTGTCTCAGGGCTTTGAATTGTAAACAGCGGGCTTCGATACCAACAGTGGGCACAGCAAAGATAACCCCATTTTGTCGCTTTGAACTTAACAACAAATCAAACAAACATTTCAAAAGAAACTGTTCTGTTGTAGATCCACCAAATCATACACCTTCTAGGTGAACATAATATCCAATATTTAATGCTATTGATTTTATTTATAAAACTTATATTTCCATCAGATATACGAAATATTTTCTGAAGAAGATAAACCTAGTAGGTTTTTTTTTCTTTCTTTCTTCTTTCTGGTCTTAGATATTTTATACAGAAATGAAAAAAAAATCAGTTTGGGTAGCAATTATTACAGTAATATTTAGCTTATTTTTTGAATATTTAATATTGGATATTTCACTATGATGTAAATGGTTGGTTTACTCAGAAAATGGTCAAATGATGTATCTCAGAACTTCTGAAAATGATGTTTTGGACTCGTCTTCTACAACACTACGTTTTTATATTAATATGATGTTTTACAAAACGGAATCTATTGATTTTCTCTATCGAGCATAAAGTTTTAAAACATAAAAAGTGAAATAAACAAGATTTGGAAGTCGGTATAATTGTCTATTATACAACATATCTAGTTACAGAAATAACAAATTTATGTCAAAGTGAATTGTTGGTTGCAGTTAAGGAAATAAATTGTCAATGCAATTTGCATGGTAAGAACTTTTATACGTGAAATAAGAAACTATA